TATGTACCACATCTTCTTGATCCAGTCATCTAATTTTGGGGCATTTGGGTTGTTTCCAAAGCTTAGCTATTGTAAATTGTGCTGCTATAAACATAGGCGTGCAGGTGCTCTTTGGAATTGATGTTTCTGTGTCCTTTGGGTAAATACCTAAGAGTGGAATTGCTGGATCATATGGAAGCTCTATGTTTAGTAGGTCCAGAAATCTCCACACAGTTCTCCATAGTGGTTGGACCAGTTTGCACTCCCACCAGCAGTGCAGGAGAGTTCCTTTTTCTCCACAACCTTGCCAACATTTGTTGTTGCTAGTTTTTTTAATATGTGCCATTCTCACTGGTGTAAGATGGTATCTCATTGTAGTTTTGATTTGCATTTCCCTGATTACAAGTGATGTTGAACATTTTTTCATATGCCTGTTGGCCATGTGCATTTCCTCTTCAGAGAAGTTTCTTTTTAGCTCTTCTGCCCATTTTTTGACTGGATTATTTTCTTTGTTTTTGTTGAGTCTCATCAGCTCTTTGTAGATTTTTGTGATCAGTCCTTTATCATTAGTGTTGGGTGCAAAAATGTTCTCCCAGTCAGTGGGGTTTCTCTTTGTTTTGGCTATTGTCTCTTTTGCTGTGCAGAAGCTCTTTAATTTGATGTAGTCCCAGCTGTTGATCTTTGCCTTCACTATCACTGCTTTGGGTGATGCATCTGTAAAGATATCTTTGAGGTGCATGTCATGTAGTGTTTCGCCTATATTTCCTTCTATATATTTTATGGTTTCAGGTCTTATGTCTAGTTCTTTACTCCATTTTGAATTGGTTTTTGTGCATGGTGTGAGGTAGTAGTCAAGCTTCGTTCTTTTGCATGTAGCGACCCAGTTTTCTTAGCACCTTTTATTGAACAAACTTTATTTGCTCCAGTGCATATTCTTTGCTCCTTTGTCAAAGATTAGTTGACCATAAATCTGTGGATTTATTTCTGGATTTTCTATTCGATTCCATTGGTCTGTGTGTCTGCTCTTGTTCCAATACCATGCAGTTTTGATGATTATGGCTTTGTAATATAGTTTGAAGAAAAATAATCTTTTGTTAGTAACTTCTAACTTAATTGCATGTTTTTGTAAGTTATCTATTATTTAACATCTGTTGAGGCTTTCTTATGGCCTCATACATGATTAAAAGTACATGTGGGCTTAAGAAAAATGTGGGTATACACCACTTGGATATGAAACTCAAGTTTAAATTTTATACATTCTTGTTGACTTTATCTTACTTTAGGTTTGGTCTACTTAACCTATCAAGAATTGAGAGAAACAGCCTTAGAAAACACTCTTTAGATTTTAGTTCACCAGTTCCTAGGGTTTGCAGAGGTTATGAGCAACTGTCATAGTTATTACCCCCTGTACACCACCCCCACCATTTTCCCCAGCTCTTCACCAGTACAGTATTTACTCCTATAGACATCTGATCCGCTGTCTGAGTGCCAGGAGACATAGGGTAAGCATTGTTGTCTCAAGATTTGGGAGTGGGAAGAAGCAAGAGCAGAAATCCCGGAGGTTCCTTTTCTGTTTTGTCCTCCCACATCCTACCACGGGGGTTTCTCAGAGTTTCCCCTTTTCTTGGTGTTTTCCTCATTTGGTTCCCTTGAGGTTGACCTTGGGCAGTGGGGAGCTGACAACTTGGTATAGGCCAAACTGGAATACTGTCCCTTTATATATATGCGAGCCACCTATAAAATCCTAGAAATGGAATTTTGAAAGTGCCTCAACACCTCTTCCCACATTAAGCCTATGTTACCTCCTGTATTTTCCCTTTTTGTGTCTAGCACTATCAACATCCAATCACATAAACCAAAGTAGTGTTTATTCAAACTCATGGGTGCAGATAATAGAAAATTATAGGGACCTTAACACAAAATAAGGGTATTATTTTGTGAAGCTTTTATTTCATAGGTGTGTGTACATGTACAAGTACTCATAAGTATGTGTGCTAAGTGACTGAAATGTGGATTGTGGTTAAGAAAAAAAGTTGACAAACAATTAACTAGAGGATTAGGAATCTTTTTTTTTAAAGATTTATTTATTTATTTATACAAGCACTGGGTACAATCAGAAGCATGGGAGGGTGAGAGAATCCACCAGAGCCAGAGCAGGGAGCAGAACAGGCAGAATGACAGAAGTACACTGCTGAGGGGAGCAGCGAGCAAGGCAGGAGAGGTCTGCGCTCCATGTGGGACCCTCACCAGTAGCCGGGGATCGAACCTGCACTGCAGAGGCTGCCGGCAGTTTCGCAGCCTAGCGCTCAACCGCTGCGCCACCGGGGAGGCCCTAGGAATCATTTTTGACCCTTACCTCCTACACCCATTCAATTACCAAATTTGCTGAGTATTTCTTCAATATTTCTCAAATTCATCCCATCCTCCACTTCTCTATTAGCTAGTGCTCTAGCTCTGGGCCTTTCTGGATGACTGCACTAACATCTCAGACCCATGCTCCATATGTCTTTATTTTTATCAAAGTAATCTTCCTGAAATGTGAACAATGATTATTTAAATTCTTTTGTGACATCTTATTGCCCACAGATAACTTCTGAGCTTAATAAATTGGCTCCTGCCTACCTCTCTAGCTTCATCTGCTCCTGTTCCAGTCTCATTGGTAACACCAAACCACTTTTAGATTTCCTCATACTCCCTAAACATTTTATGCTTTATTCTTTTGCTTTTGCCTGTTGTAGGAATGAGGGATTTTTTTACTGCTATCTCTTTTACCTGGTGAACTCCAGCTTATTCATTCTTACTTTGTACAGAAATTCTTACTCCCCCTCCTCCCCTGCCCCAGCTGTCCCTCCTCTGTGCTTGCAGAATATTCTTGGAATTTCTCATTACACAGCCAGACTGCTTTTTAATTGTCTGTTCATCTCAGTGTTTACTTCTTTTATGGCAAGAGTCAGTTGGTTATATTCACTTCAGTGCCTAAAACAATGTCTGGCTCACATTGGGTGTTTAGATATTGAATAACTGAAGATTCAAAAAGTTATATTACCTTTTTCAAGATGAAGTTGCTCAAAGATGACAAAATGTGACTACCACACAAGTACCTCTTTCATTGCCTCATGTCACAGGCCAGTACTCCAGTAGTCATGTCACACTGAATAAGTACAACATTTATTGTACAATACTGAACGTGTCACTTTAAGCTAGTTTCCTAATGATTAAGATGATTAAGTTATCCTTTGAATTTTTACATGCTGTATTGGAGCATGTTTCTGGTGCATGAATAGGTCTGCATGACATTTATCTATTCATAAAGAATTAAAACAGTGCATGTAGATTCAAAAGTAAATTATATATATATATATATATATATATATCAAAATGGTCTCTTACCGACTGTATTTGATAGGTCAGTTAAAAATTTAAAATATAATGTCAGATTCCAGGCATACGGTTTTTTTTAATAAATTTTATTTTTATATTCCCCATACAATTGCAATCCCCTTATTTTGACCCCAATCCCTCCCCTCCCCACCCCCCACTCTCCATAGAGTATCTCTTGTTCATAGTTGTTTGTTGATTTTGATATTTTCTTTCTTATAGTTATTCTTTTTCCTGGTCCCTTATTTAAGTTTTCTAGATTCCTGCTATGAGTGAGACCATCCGGTATTTTTCTTTTTCTTTCTGGCTTATTTCACTGAGCATGATCCCAGGCATATGGTTTTAAAAAGATTCTGTGAGCTTTAGTTTAGAATACCTAAGGATGTACATTTCCCTGATAACTAATGATGTTGAACATTTTTTCATATGCCTTTGGCTATTTGCATTTCTTCTTTAAAGAAGTGTCTTTTTAATTCTCCCCATTTTTTGACAACAAATGCTGGAGAGAATGTGGAGCTAAAGGAACCCTCTTACCCTGCTGGTGGAATGCAAACTGGTCCAGCCACTATGGAAAGCTGTGTGGCAGTTCCTTAGAACACTAAAAATGGATCTACCATATGATCCATTGATTCCACTCCTAGAAATCTACCCAGAGGACACAAAAACACTAATTTGAAAGGAAACCTGCATTCCTATGTTTATTGCAGCACTATTTACAATAGACAAGATATGGAAACAACCCAAATACCCCAAAATAGATGAATGGATCAAAAAGTTGTGGTATATTTACAAAATGGAATATTACTCAGCGATCAAAAAGACAAACTCATGCCATTTATTGCAACATGGATGGAGCTGGGATTACTCTAGCTGAAATTAATCAGAAGGAAAAAGATAAATATCAGATGGTCTCACTTATATGTGAAATATAGAGAAACAAAATGAAAGGTCAATAAAAAGTCAAAACTAGCAGCTGGCCATAGGTCTGAGGCATATGGCAAAGGAGGGGGAGGGAGGAGAGGCAAAACGGGAGGGATGGACACAAGGGACAATGGGATGAACACAAGGGACTATGGTGATGGTTCAGGGATGAAATGTATCTCAATCTGGGTGTATTTAAAATTTCAGAAGTTTTTAAAGAAGCAGAAGTAGTTTTAAAAGTGAAACATCTGAAAAGGAAAAAAAAAAAGGGTTAGTGCTAAAATATTCCCTAATCAATCCAGTATGCTCTGTGTGTGTGTACATGTTTGAGAGAGAGAGAAAAAGAGACAGAGAGAGAGAGAGAGAGAGAGAGAGAGAGAGAGAGAGAGAGAAGGAGGAAGAGGAGATAAGAGAAGAGGGGGGGATAATGGTTTCCAAACGTTTTTATAGTTGATAAGTTAAAACTGTACACAAACAATATCCAAACATTGTATTGGGTTGATTCGTCCTTAGTCTTTTTTAATGTATACATTTCCTCTCCCTTTTTGTCCTTTCATGCCTTTTATTTATAGGGGGAAAATATTGTCCTATTATTTTCTTACTGCATAGCAAAGTTAGTGACAATAGGAATGTATGTTTTAGCACTAACACCCAATAAGCTCTCAATTAACATTTGTTGAATAATGTTCGTAATACTCAAGGGCTGTGTTTTGTCCCTGCAGGTTGATCCAAAAGATTACATGTTCAGTGGACTAAAGGATGAAACAGTAGGCCGCTTACCTGGAAAGGTAGCAGGACAACAGTTTCTCATTCAAGACTGTGAGAACTGTAACATCTATATTTTTGATCACTCTGCTACAGTTACTATCGATGACTGTACCAACTGCGTAATTTTTCTGGGACCCGTGAAAGGCAGTGTGTTTTTCCGGAATTGCAGAGATTGCAAGTGTGCATTGGCTTGCCAGCAGTTTCGCGTGAGGGATTGTAGAAAGCTGGAAGTCTTTTTGTGCTGTGCCACTCAACCCATTATCGAGTCTTCCACAAATATCAAGTTTGGCTGTTTTCAATGGTACTACCCTGAATTAGCTTTCCAGTTCAAAGACGCAGGGTTAAGTATCTTCAATAATACCTGGAGTAACATTCACGACTTTACACCTGTATCAGGAGAACTCAACTGGACTCTTCTTCCAGAAGATGCTGTGGTTCAGGACCATATTCCTCTGCCTACCACCGAAGAGCTCAAAGCTGTACGCATTTCTACAGAAGCCAACAGAAGTATCGTTCCAGTGTCCCGGGGTCAGAGACAGAAGAGCAGTGATGAATCATGCTTGGTGGTATTATTTGCTGGTGATTATACTATTGCAAATGCCAGGAAACTAATTGATGAGGTAAGGAGCAAGGGGAAAGAGACATACATCTAGATAGAAACACACCACTTCCCAGAAAACTTCTGTACTTTTCAAATTGGCTATTAAAAATACTGGCAATCATTACATGGCAGTCCTCTGCCCCTGCAGATTTATCTGTAATCCTGTTGTTTAGACCTCAAAATACTTTCCCAAAATAACTTTTAAAAATGATTCAATTTAACAAGCACTTATGTGTAAATTACTGTTACTGTATTTCATTAATTATAGGAAGCACATGTTTTCCACATTTTTGTTTATTTGTAAGGCATCTTACAATTGATGGCAACTCAGAGCTGATGAAATATATGCTAGAGTGGAGATTTATTTTTTTAAAGATTTATTTATTTATGCATACAAGAACTGGGGTACAGGCCACAGGTACAGGAGGTGAGAGGATTTACCAGGGACAGAGTAGGGAGCAGAATAGACAGCTCCACTGAAACACACTGCTGAGGGGAGCAGCGGGCAAGACAGGAGAGGTCTGCTGTGCCATGTGGGTTAGCACCCTGGCTGGCCGGGCATCGAACTCATGCTGCAGTGGTTGCAGACAGCTTCATAGTGCGTGCTTAACCCCTTGCGCCACCAGGGAGGCCCTAGAGTGGAGATTTAAAGACAAAATTCTCTCTCTCAAAGGACTTCCATTCTTTATAATAATTGATTTCCATGGTAACTTAGAAAAGTCATACTGCATAGTAAAGCATAATTATTTAGTGAAGAAATTTATTAGGCACTTTAATTGGTTCAGGGGTGGGGAAGACATTTAGAAATGGAATTTTAGACCCTGTTGTGACTATGAGAGCAACCTCCACATTCCTTTTTTTCTTTGCTCTATTGCCCTGCAGATGAGGTGGTTATGGAAGAGTAGGTGGGTATGGAAGAGGAGGTGGGAGCTGGTATGGCAGAGGTGGTGGGCTCATGAGCAGTACCACTAACTGAGCTTCTGAATAAAGAAGAGTTCAGTTGGCTAGCACCTTCCACTTGAAAAATAACTGGGGATGTAGACATTAGGGGCTCTAGAAGCAGCAGTTCCTGTATCGGTGGGCTCGCCAGTGGGGAAGCAGCCGTAGGATGTACTGATTATCTATTAATCAGATATTCTTCAGGAAAAGTCTGTTTGAATTTAAAAATCAAACTGCCAGAAATGGAGAAGTGAATGAAAAACTCACCAAGTCTCTTTTCAAATGAATTTTTTTTTAAGGTGGAACAATTTAGTCAAAAGGAATAATTTTAGGATGAAAATATAACTCCCATCTGTAACTATGGACATTCTACAATGCAGAAAACCAATCTCTGAAATCTACAAAGTATAGCTGAGGTCTAGTTCTCAAAACAACAGAAACCAAAGTATAATTTTTAAGGCTTTGATATTTTCTCTTTTAATTATGCAAATCTGATTTAAAAAAACATGCGATGAATCTGGTATGATTCAGAGAAAGTGCTTCTAGTTTTTGAGCCATCTAATCACAAATTAATCCAACATCTAGATAAATATTTTCTTTACACTGTATGGTGATTTTTAAAAAATATACATACCATTTTGAAATGATGTATGCAGATTAAACTTTTTTTGGTAGGTAATAAGGAGTGGACATAAAGAATACATGACATTTAAAGAAAAAAAGCCATCAAAACAAACACCGTCTTTTTCCATGAGTCATTAGATAGTCTTAACCTTTGGTATGTGATATATGAAATGGCAATATAGTGTGCCATTGAAAGTGCTATGACCAGGAAGAGTGATGTTCTTTAGAAGTCCTTCTAGACTATAAAATAATTTAAAACAAAATTCCGCAATAACAGCAACAATAATCTTAGCTAACACTAATATAGTATTTACCATTATACCAGGCACTGTTGTAAGGGATTTATATGAATTCACTTAATTCAGAATAACCTATGAAATAGGTCTAGTATTTTCCTTTTTACAGAGAAGGAAAATGAACCACAGAAAAGATAAGGAACTTACAAAAAGTTCACTTAGCTGGTAAACAGCAGAGCCATGATTTAAATCCAGGTAACGTGACTTTGTAAGCCAGTGTTAGCCCTTAAGAATGAATGCCTCCCTGGTGGCGCAAGGGGTTGAGAGGCAACCTATGAAGCTACCCGCAGCCACTGAAGCACCACTTTGATCCCTGGCCAGGGAGCTACCCACATGGTGCAGCAGACCTCTCCTGACTCGCCTGCTGATCCCCTCAGCAGTGTATTTCAGTCAGTCTGCTTGTTCTGTTCCCCACTCTGTCTCTGGTGAATCCTCTTACCCCCATATCTCTGGCCTATACCCCAGTTCATGTATGCATAAATAAATAAATCTTTAAAAAAAAAAAAGAATGATGCTACTATATTACCTCAGTGGTAAAGGAAACTTGAATGCCTGGTGGAGCAGGAATGTGACCAAAAAGCACGTGTAGCTGAGACAAATGCTACCTTCCAGCCTAGAAGGAAACCCTGGGACTTTTTGGCTAGAGGTATTCTATTTAATTCTGAAAGTACAGAATTAAGGACGGAAAAGAGAAAAAAAAAAAAAGAAAATGCCAAGTATATGTGAAGACGATATCAAAATGGCTGAAAAAACCAGTTACTTACAGATTGAGAGAGAGATTACATATTTTTTTAAAAGATGAAGCTAGAATTCCCAGGAAAATGCATGTTAGAAGCTCATTAATTCTGAGATGAAAAAAGTAAACTTGAGTCATTCTCATATCATAACATGAATATCTTAGAACAGCTTAGAGAGGAACTCTTGTTAAACACTAGAATTACGAGAGCTCATTTTTCATTGTTTTTATAAATTCAACATATCATAATGTTTTTTGAGATCAGAAATATAAGACTTGGGAGGGTAGGAAGTCCAGAAAAGTTGGGTGAAGCAGAAAGTACACTATGTAGGGGGTCAAGAGAAGTTACTGGGCCTGAGTTTTCTCACCTAAAATTCAAATTTCTTCCTCTTACCTGCATCACAGATATGGACAGGATAAATTCAAGTCAAAGTAACTCGAATTGTGTGAAAGTAAAGTACTGCATATTTTCAAGTCTTTAAAACTAGAAGAATTTTCATGGGAAAAGTCCGCAAATATCTGCAGTGAAATATCAAATTAGATGCAGGTTCATAGTTCACTGTTTTTTTAATTAATTAAGTAATTTAATATCTTTTTATTAATATATAAGCCTATCTAAAGGTAGGTACATGTGGTTGTCTATTAAATGCCCATTGAATGAGCTCACACATTAGTTTCATTTTCAAAATGGTCAGAAAAGGCAGCATAGCAATGGTCTGGGGGAGGGCAGGGCAGGGTTATTGCTGAGACCTACTGCACACATTGTACTCTGCATCACTCTACCATATTTATCACTTCACTAAGCCCATGAAAAATCAGTCCTTTTATCTAAAATAACCAGTAGGATAAGAATTTAACTTGAGAAGCTTTAAGTGCATCTCTGATTTAATTACCCATTCTATTTGACTTCCCAGAGACAATTTTGTGTTTTCATTCCAATCTGTATTGATTACCTGTTTCAGTTTAGCATACTTTTTGGTCATGTTGCCCAAATATTTGAATCACATAGGAAGCTTATTTTCTTCTGATGTTTCCTTTAACATGTTATTGTTTTGTATATTATGTGATAACAAGCATACATTGTTTTTAGATAAGAGTATTTTGAATTAATCATCTTTTGTCAATTTACGTGTCTGACTATAAAATGATGTAATGAGCAGTTTAGAAAATTAGAAGCAGACGTAGAATTGATTCTGATGCTATAAGTAACTTTGCACTCATCATCTAGCAGTGATGTCCACGTAATTTCCTCCTACTTTATGTCTGTTTCTTTTCTGAGTCAGCATTGAAGGTTCTGAAATAGGATTTGAGTTTGAATCCAATTTGATGGGATAGTATGGAATAATGTTATAGTAGGATGACTGGAAAACGAAAAATCGTAGAATACTATGTAGGTATCTACATTTTTTTTAAGTACTAGTAAGTCTGAAAAGTTGTAGATACTAAAATCTTAACAGTCATGGTTAGTCTCACAAAGTGGGTTACAGGATTTTCCTTTTTGTAGTTCTATGGATTTTATAGTGGAAGGGAAAAAGAAAGCTGGGGCAGTAAAAAGAAGTATACCATGGCAGTGACATCTTTGAGTCACTTGGTGGATACTTCTTTGTTTCTATTTTTTTTTTCAGATGTTCTCTATTGAGCATATTGGTTGCTTATATCATTAAAATCAAATAAACTTTGCTTTAAAAACAAGGTGGCTGCATGCCTTTGCATTTTTTTAAAATTACTTCCATGATTATTTAAAAAACTAATATGTATTCATTGTAGAGAACTGTAGAAATAAGTTTTCAAATCATCAGTAATGTACTTTACCTTGAATACTCCTTTCAGAAATACATTTTTTTAATTTATTTGGTCTGTAATCAGATTAGTTAGCTTTGAATACCTGCTCTGTTACTTAACTGTCACGTGATCTTGGGAAAGTTTCTTAAGCTCTCTGCCTTAGTCTTCTCATCTGTAAAAATAATACTAGTAGCTACCTTGTGAAGGAGTTAAGTGTGTTACACATATGAAGTACATTTAACTGCTTGGCACATAATAAGTGCCCCATAACTGTCAGCGACCATTATTGTGTTATACTATACAAATTTGTAGCATGCTTTTAAAATTAGCATCATTATACAGACATTTCCCCATTTTATTACAATATCTTTGTTATATTTAATGAACTGTGGCATTTCATCATGTGAATATACCATAATTTACTTAACCATTCTTCTCTTACTGGATTTCACCAAACTAAAGCTTGCATAGTTTCAGTCAAAAAATGTAATTGTTTTAAATTTTGAGAGATAATTCACATTTATTTGACCTTTAGTCCTAACAGTAGGCATTATAGTACTAATTCTTAAGCAGAACCACCTATCTGGAATAATCTCTTGTATATGAAATCTTGTACTGCTAATGCCTCCTGAATTACAGCCACAGCAAAAACAAAAATCATTGTGTGTTTTGTATTTTGTACAGAGAAGTACTAGAATAGGGAAATATTGTTTTAATCTCAGAAGTTCATTTTTACATCTAAAATGAATTTTTTTTCCCCACAGATGGTTGGTAAAGGCTTTTTCCTAGTTCAAACAAAGGAAGTATCAATGAAAGCTGAGGATGCCCAAAGAGTTTTTCGGGAAAAAGCACCTGATTTCCTTCCTCTTCTGAACAAAGGTACCTTCTGGAGGACTGGTATATTTTTGTGGTTATTTTCTTGACACACTGGTGTGATTTATTCTTACCTTTAGCAACTCTCTTACATTGTCTTCTCTTTCTCATTTGTTTTATGTTTTTTCCTATTACTATTAAGAAACATCAAAATTTCATATCATTCAAAAAGCCCTATATAACTAACTGGTAATTATTCAGTAAAGGTTTTTTCCTATTCTCCTTTCTTAGCACTTAAAAGTCGTATTTTATTATTGTTGTATTATTATATTATGAGAGAACATTTATCATCCCTGCCCTGAGTTGCAAAGCATTTCATAAGGATTCTTTCAACCTTCAGTATGCTTTGACCCTACTGGAAAAGAAATATGAAATATAAATGAAATGGCATAGTATTTATGTATTTAATATGATTGATTAATAACTCCCTAAGCATAATTGAAATTGTTTTCCCCAATGGGTGAATGTCACCAGTAAACTTCAGCTACTGTAAATATGTCTGAAAACAGAGGAACTGGTGTTCATATGCCTTCCAGACAGCAAACCTATATGTATATGGGTGTACTGATTCTAAATGACAGAATTCTATTTATCTTCAAGGTGGACACATTGTTTGCTCAAGACTCATCAGGCTTTTCTTGACTGGCCTGAGCAAATATGTACAGTAATATGCAATGCTGATTGGGTATATCCTAGAAAAAGGGCACCTCTGTATTTACATGCTCTTTATAAATCAGCCATTATTAATTTCATATACCTTTGTAGGTACTATAGTAGTATCAAGGACTTGCTCTGACCTAGATTACATAATAAGAAATTATGACCTGGCACCTTTGATACAACATTTTGACATGGTAAGATTCTGAAAGGTCCTTGAAAACAAACCTTAAATTCTCAGCAACTTTCAGAAATTGGATCAAGTAAGAAGTCCAATAAATAAATACCTTAAAATGTGAGGATTAGAGATGAAGTGAGTTTATGAGTAGTTCTAAATTATTTATGTACTCATTAATGTTAATAAAGTGGTTTCACAGAACTGCTCCAAACATAATAACTGTATTTAAGCAAAACAACATTTCATGTGGAAGAGTAAAATGTTCTGTTCCAGAAAAAAAGTAGAACTAAAACCAATGGGCAGATGTTACAGGAATTTCAGCAAATAAGCATTATTTGAACAGCTTTGAAAACCAGAGATGACCATAGGACGTACTCAAAGACTAATAAAGTCATGTCAAAAGATCACAGGAGCCAGCTTGAAGGCATTTCCACTGACCAAATTTGGGGAAATGTGAACATCAGAAAAAGTAATGAAAGGAACTGATTCAACATGACAGAAATCCATGTATCCACAGTAATAATAAAAAGGGGAGAGGAGGGACTACAGGAAATCTCTTCTGCACTTTACAGAATACTGTGAACTAATAAATGTAGAAGGAATGATAAACTTTGGAAATCACCATTTTCTAACCCCCAATGTAATTAATTCATACGATTATTTGTAGATGTTGAAGCGATTGGGATAAAAGTTGCTAAGAAATAGGTTATTTATACATTTTAATTCACAGGGGAAGTATACCTTTACAGCAAGTTCTTGGTAATCCACATTAACTGAGTGATCATATTAGCATTTCTGGTGGCTGGACAACCTGACATTGTTATTTTTCCTGATACAATGCAGTAAGAAATACACAACATCATCTATGAAGTATTCTTGCCAAAACTATTTTACCTGATTCTAATGCAGCCAAGACTTAACTTCTAATTTATACAAAAGAAAGGAACACGGGTTCTAGGGACATGTTAAATGACATTATAAGGAAACAGTGAGACAAATCTGAAATAGAAGACATTCACAAGAAAACTAGCCAGGGATTCTTTGGACAGTGTCCTGGAAAGGAAATAAGAATGATGGGGAATTGTTCTGGATTAAAAAAAATAATAATAACTAAATGCAACAAATGAACCTTAGTTGGATCTTGGATTGGGGTAAAGTGAGCAATATAACAGTAAAAGACATTTTGGGGAGAACTGAGGATGTTTGAAGATGGTATTAACTATTGTTAGTATGTGTAGGTATCATGGTGCTATTGTGGACATGTAGGAGAGGCATGTTCAACTATCATGATGTCTGCAATTTTCAGATGGCTCAGTAGAACTAAACAAAACATGGGTGTATGCACATTGATGGGGTGTAGAGTGTGATAAAAGCAAATGTGTACAAATACTAATATTTGATGGATGTAGGCAAAGAGCAAAGAGATGATTATTTTGCAACTTTCTATAATGTTTGAAAATTTTCAAAATAAGAAGTTGGGAATATTCTAAGCTGACCTATAGTGCATTGGTTGATGTAGAATAGTGAGTAGGCTATTAGGGGAGACACTCCAGCAGCAGTAGGATAAATTGTATCCTCACCTAAAAGTGACCGCCAGTAATTTTAAGGAGGGTTTCTCAACCTCAGCATTATTGACATTTTAGAACAGATAATTAATTCTTTGTTGTGGGAGCTGTCCTGTATATTATTGGATGTTTAGCAGCATCCCTGGCCTTTCACGTACTTGGTGCCAGCAGCATACCCCTCAGTTGTGGCAGCCAGAAATATTCCCAGACATTGCCCAGTGTCCTGTGGGGGACAAAATTGCTCCTAGTTGCAAACCACTATTCTAAGCTCAGCGTGTACTTGTTCTTTGGAAAATTCACTTTTATTTTAAATAGTATCTCAGAGTCTCTAAATTTTCCTTTTCAGCTAAAGTAGCCACAGTATTTACTTTCAATTAATTAGGCTACCTGACTGCTTAATGAGAGAGCTCATTGTGTTTTCCATATTGAGAATCTTTCAAACTTGACTAATCCTCAGAACCAAATATCTGAGCTATACCCTTGGAATCTGCGTTTTAAATTGTTCCCCAGGTGGCTTATTATTATTATTGCAGGCCACTGTGAAGACATGGGCTTCTAGTTTGAATGAGGTGAGAAGCTTCCATTTTTTAAATAAATTTTTTATATTAGGATCATTTATTTTAATACTTAACAATAGTTTTCATGTCTATATAGCTTTGGGGGTACGTTGCCACACCTCACATGTAGACATGCTTTACTTACCCTCCACCACAATTCCTGTGCCAGTGACCAATCCTCTCCCCTGGCCCACCTCCCTCCCCCCATTCTCTCTGGTAACCAGTATATTTTTTCACAGTCTAAGGATTATTTTTGCTATGCTTTGCCAGTAAATGTTCTTTGGTTATTTCTATTCCACAAATAAATGAAACCATGCAGTATCTATCTTTCACTTTCTGTCTTAATTTCACTTAGCATAATCACCTCAAAATCCATTCATTTTGTTCCAAAAGGCACTATTTCATCTTTTTTTGATATGAGTTGTATTCCACAATTTCCTTATTCAGCTGTCAGTGGGCACTTAGGTTGGTTCCATAACTTGACTATTGTGGGTGCCAATGCTTCTATGAACATAGGAGTGCATAAGTCTTTCTGTATTTATTCTTTCATATTCTTTGGGTAAATATCTAGCAGTGGCATTGCTGGATCATATGGTATTTCCATTTTAATTTTTTGAAGGAATCTCCAAACCATTTTCCATAGCGATTTCACCAAATTATATTCCCACAAACAGTGAATGAGTGTTCCTTTTTCTCCACATCCTCACCAATATTTGTTGTTTCCATTCTTTTTGATAAAGGCCATTCTGTCAGGGGTGAGGGGGTATCTCATTGTGATTTGGATTTGCATTTCCCTTATAAGAAGTGACATTTGAACATTTTTTCATGTGCCTGTAGGCCATCTGAATGACTTCTTTGAAAAAGAGTCTGTTTAGAACTTTTGCCCATTTTTTTGTTGGGTTTTTAATTTTTGTTGTTGTTACTGTGTGAGCATTTTATATAATTTGGAAATTAACTCAGATGTGTGATGGGCAAATATCTTCTCCCAGTCTGTAGGTTGCCTTTTTATTTTTGTATCTTTTTAGTTTGATGTAGTGCCATGTATTTATTTTTATTTTTGTTACTCTTGCTATTAACGATGCATCCCAAATGTGTCTCTGATTGATATCCAAAAGTATATATCACCTGTGTTTCTTCTAAATATTTCATGGTTTCACATCCCAAATGCCCCAAAATAGATGACTGGATCAAGAAGATGCGGTATATATACACAATGGAATACTATTCAGCGATCAAGAAAGATAAACTCATGCAATTTGCAGCAACATGGGTGAACCCTGAAGGAATTATGCTCAGTGAAAATAAGTCAGAAGGAAAAAGAAAAATATCAGATGGTTTCACTTATAGGAGGAATATAGGGGAACCAAATAAGACATCAGGGGAAAAAATAACAAAACAAAACAAAACAAAAACAGACAATTATAAACCAGAGACATCCTGCAGGTGAGGAAGAGGAAGAGGGATCAGAGGGAGGGAGGGAGGAGCACAAGGAACTGTGGTGATGGTGCACTGGTGAAGGAAATTCTATGGGACTACACCTGAAGGGGCGTGGGAAGCAAATATTGTTTTAAAATGAACAATGATGGGGCCTCCCTGATGGTGCAGGTGGTTGAGCTCAGCACTTTGAAGCTGTCCGCAGCCTCTGCAGTGTCGGCTCGATCCCCTCCAGCCTCAGAACAACCCACATGGCATGGCAGACCTCTCCTGTCTTGCCCGCTGCTCCCCTCAGCAGTGTATTTCCTCAGTCTGCCTTTTCTGTTCCCCGCTCTGTCTCTGGTGAATCCTCTCACCTTCTGGGCATCTGGCCTGCACCCTAGTGCTTGTATAAATTTAAAAAAAAAATCTTAAATAAAATGAACAATAATGTAAAAAATATATAAAAACTTAATTGAATAGAGTAATAAAATATAAAAAGCTCTTTAAATAAAAATATTTTAAATATTTTGTTAAATAAATTAATGTTTCGTGGTTTCAGGCTTTATATCCAGGTCTTTAATCCATTTGGAATTAGCTTTGTGTCTGGAGTTAAGTTAGGACCTAGTTGGTTTTTTTT